CAACCTTTTGGCTGGTGGTTGAGTGTCTGTTCTCCGACCATTAGGCCTCTTTCTTTCAATTCTGACTCCTCTTCCTTTCACAGGCAAACCTATTAGATGGAGGCTGACTAATCTTGGCAATGAATCCGTGGCTAAAATGTGATTTCCTCTTTGGAATCCTACCTGCCTTAATCTCTCATGGTTTTTTCTCTCCGCTCTTTAATTTTTTTTCCCAGCCTCCAATTCTCTTCAATCCTGAAGTTTCATATTTGACATATTATATGTTGTGGAAACTTCTAAGATCACCTCTACAGCAAATATGCCAAGAGCTATATCCAACCCGGAAGCACAGGTTGAATCGTGAGTTACATATTGGCCTGCTAAATGCAAAGTGAGAAGTTCAAATCCACCAGCCAGTGCCTCGGGAAAAGTTGAGGCTTTCTTCTACCCTGCAGAGCTGCAGTCTTAGAAACCCACAGGGGCCTGTTTTCTCCTTGTTTGTTCTATAGGATCTCCATGAATCTAAGCCAAGAGAATGGCAATAAAGTGGCTTTGGCTTTGGCTTTTAATTATATCCAACCCAAACCCTTTCATGAATTCCAGACCCCTTTTACAATTGTTTCTAGGACCACTACACCTTAAATACCCCTGGTTATCTCAGATTTTGCATATTCAAAGTAGAATTCATCTTCCTTTCTTAACAGCATGTTTTCCCGGCTACGACCCTATGTAAGCAAACAACCCAGGTCTTTCCTGGCTCAAGCCACGAGGTAAAGAAAGGATGTGTCTACAGAACACTCATATTTTGACTTATATTCCTTAGCTCTTATTATTCCAGAGAGATGTTTTCTTGTGTTTCAGATTATGCAAAGACATTCGACTATGTGGAACATATAAAATGGGATAATCTTGAGAAGAATGAGAATTCTGGAACACTTCATTGTGTCATTCAAAACTTATATATGGATCAAGAGGCGGTGGTGCAAACTGAACAAGGGAACACTGCATGGCTTAAGTCAGGAAAGGCGTATGCCAGGCTTGTATCCTCTCACCATACTTCTTCAATCTGTATGCTGGGAAAATCATCAGAGCAGCTGCATTATATGAAGAAGAGTGTGGCATCAGGGTTGGACAAGGACATCGTGTTTGGTCAAGTGGGAGGTCAGTGGAAAAGAGGAAGTCCCTCAAGGAGATGGATGGACACGGGGGCTGCATCGATGGCTCAGGCATGGGGAACATTGTGAAGACGGACAAGAACCACGCAATATTTTGTTCTGTGGTGCATGGGGTCACTATGGGTGGGAGCCGACTGGAGGGTGCATGACAACAAGAAGAACGATAATAAAACCTATGTAGGACACAGATCTCAAGAGCGTGGGGATACATGAAGATAAAGCGGGGCAGTCATAAGGTCTCCTTACTCTAACCCTTCACAATGCTGCCAAGAAAAAGGGTCTCAGAAACGTGAGTGGGCTCTCTTCCTATCAGGGTGGAAGCTTCCCTGCTGAAATGGGTGGAAGTAATTGAAAGTGGAAAGTAAGTGTTAAGTGTTCACACTAGAAATGAGCGTGTCAAAAGAGGCTGGAGCCTCTATATTTCACCCTAACACTCCACCACTCTCAAGGTCTCCCAATTATCAGTACACTTCACGCCAAAGACCTTGTGAAATACATTAGATAAGGGTATGCTACCCAGCTACTGTGCACCCTTGAGTCCCACCTTATAGCCGAACAGCTGTGGAGCTGAGGCAGCTCAAGATCCGACGGAGATGCCCAAGATTGCCCTGTGGTTTTGTTTAGGGCTGGACAGCACAATTCTCTTAGGCTCGCTCCCACTTCTGTCTATCCCTTCCATTTCCTGTCGTGCTCCTCCATCGGGACCTTGACAGCAAGGCTGAGCAATTACAAGAGCTTTCTTATGAGGTTAAGATTGCACACTTACCATTTAATATCCGTGTGCCCCCGCACACATTACTTAACGGCTTTAGGCTGAATTGCCTATCTGAGAAGTAAATATGATTAAACGTGGTGGGGTGTTGATCCCTCACCGATCTCACAGGGAGGCCATTGGAAGGAAATTAGAGCACATAAGAGTGCAGCTGTTTACAAAGGTTTTCTCTCCCGCCGATACCTGCTTTCTTTCAATGTTTTCCCAAGATAATCCCATGGACCAAGGCCGTTTGATCTCTGTCACAAACTGATTTTGTTCTGCTTGGCACTCCCAAAATCCATGAGGTTGTGCCACGTTTGTTCCCGCTCTGACCTTCCCAGGAAGGTATGTGAAACTGATGACATGGCGCCTTCACTCGGACTCCTTTTAATTTACACAGTCAACGTCCATCAGTTTCTTTCTCAGTAATGTACTGGCCTGGAGACTGCTGTGATACTGAAAGCCATGCCGCTGGTATGTCAAATACCCATGGTGGGCAGTTCCAGCAGAACTCCCAGAATAAGGCAGGCTAAGAAGAAAGGTCTGGTGATCTGTGATTACAACAGACTTGCCTATCATCTGTGGTGTGCCCCCAGTTGGAAGGCACACAAAACCGCAATGGTCTGGGATGCACCCATGAGCATAAAAATGGTGCAGGGTAGGCGATGCTGTTTGTTCTGTTGTTCACGGGTCATGCTGCACCCCACTCAACTCAATGACAACTAACAATAGCACCTTCTACATGATTGCTTCCGGGATAGTCATGGTTCTTGAGGGTAGGGTTATGCCTTGTTCACTTTAATTCCACAGCTTCAAACACAGTCATTACCACATTCACTATGGAATGGATTGAAGAGCTGGGTCATGCGGATTGCTTTCCTGTAACAAGTAATCTGAAAGGCGATGCATCCTTAATGCGGTCCTCAGATGACTTTATATCAACTTGAATTTTTATTAAAGTGTCAATCAAGTCACAGCCGGAGGCTGCCTCCTTGGGGATGTGGCCTTCTTATATGCATGCAAAACTGGCACCCTCCCCTCTACTCCCACCCCTCCATCTCTCTGTGATTTTTGCCTTCCTGCTTGCTGGGACTCTGCTTCCAGGGATGGCCACATGCGGGCCACTCAACCCTGAGAGCTAGCATGTTTCCACTGACCTTGAAGCCCCTGGACTCTGTACCTTTCCTGCATGCTGCAGCACCTTTCTGCTCAGCTGCCTGCAGCTAGGTGAGTCTGAAGAGGGCTCTGGCTTGCATTGGACTTGTAGACTTGAGTTGGACTGGGCTGGGATGTATTCTTCTGTTATAAGATTATTTGTTGATATAAAGCTCTTTCTTATATGTCACTGGGTTGGTTTCTGACTTAAACATTTAGCTTGAATACTCTTTACAACATTAAAATGTAGCAAAATTACTACGGAAAATATTATTGGGGAGGCAGTTCTATTCTGAAATTTGAGTTTGTTTTGCTTGTTTCTGTAGAGAAAACAGGGACTGGGTAATACATCCCAAACACATGCAGCTGCAGTGGTAGATTCCACAAATACAGTTTTACCTCACAAAGCATTAAAAGATTGGGCATCTCTTCCATCCAAATTTCTTTATATGAACTCAGCATGCAAAAGTTACTTCAGAATACTCAAAATATATTCTTGAAGTAAAAACAATAGTTTGCATTTCCTTCATGGGGAAAGAAATGTTTACAAGTATTTTCTTTTCTGAAAACAGAGGTATTTCCTCATAATAGGAGATATTCTTTATCATTAGTCAAGATTGCTCTAAAATCAGCAGTTCTTCTCAGAGCCTCAGTCATGTGACTCATATTATAAAAGTCATAGAGGGGCGTCTAAAAATGCCGACCCAAGCTTAACATTTCCTATGGGGGGGGGTGTCAAAGGAAAAGGAAGCTAAAGCATTGTAAGATCATTAATATTTTTGTTGTTTTCCACAAAAATTTGGAATTTAAAATATTAGAGAGATTTTTTTAAGTTTTTTTCTCATAAAGGATAGCTTTTTAAGAATTCAAAACATTTTATAGCTAGATGATATTTTATATGTAGCAGATCCAAGAAGCTATTGCACCGTAAGTGGAACTGCAATACACCCAGTAAAGACCTAAAACACATACATTACTGGACTTCTTCATTAATTGTTTTGTAAACAAAAATTGTTCTAAAATTAAATAATAACTATCTGATTTATTTGACTCTTAGATTTCCACTTACACGCCAACTGCCCTTGAGTCATTTTTAACTCACAATAACCTTATAGGAGTGAGGGGGCGGTGCCCTGGGGTTTCTGAGGCTGTCCATCTTTACAGATGGAGAAAGCCTTCTCCCCAGCGGGTGGGTTTGAACTGCTGTGTCTGTGGTTAGCAGCTCCACTTGTCCATTACCCACTTTAACCACTTCAGCACTAGGATGCCTTTCCCTTAATAGGTTTGCTTGAAGCACTACCCCATGTGCTCAGTAATCTTCTTTCTACATAGAATTTTACAACATTCAGTTTTCCTTTCTATGTCAAAGTTCACTCTGCCTAATTTTTAAGGGTTACTTATATTTTTTTACATTGCCTCTACTTCTGACTATTATAATTATGACTTTAAATATCATAATACAACCATTAATTTAATAGCTCTATCACACCTAAAATGTAGGCTCACTCAGGCCTGAGGACATGACAAGAAGGAGGTATTCATTTCATGCAGTCCAGCTGAGTCACAAGTATGTTCCTCCTCTTTCAGGGTCACCTTTACAAAGAATTCTTTTCTCTCTGAATTTATAGTTGAAGAAGCAACTTTAATTTTGACAAAATATTTATATATTGTTCATTAGCTCATTTCATTGTATTAATGGATCTTGATAACAGTTGTGGAGTCATGAGTAAATAAGCAGCTTATGGCTTTATGCTCCCAAGTTAATAAAATCAACACTCAAATGCACACTTAACCAATCCCAACCATATTACACATGCACGTTCAAAACAAATTAGTAGCGGCACCCAGATTTGAAGAGTAAGCAGGTTCCTGTTATTGAGTAAACAAAAATCAGTAGCAGTGTAAGTTTTCACTCCAGCACTATCTTCTGAAGGTACCTGAATCACTAAGTGCATCCCCATCAATAACTTGGTCACCAAAATGTTTTAAAGCTGTTCAAAACATAAGGGAAGATAAGAAAGATAATCCAAAACAAAATATGGTGCACATGTAGAAATGCTAAAAATGAACTGGAACGTAATAGGATAGAACACAAATTATTATAGTAAAGACAAGGTCTTGATGGCTTTGGCAATGCCTTGGATTTGTTCAGAAGCAATGGCATTGTTCTAACAGCGCTCGTTCTTAAGTGCTTCAAAGGTCACATGAACGCCATGCCTCTGACCAATAGGTGACTTAACCAATGGGCTCCAGATAAGGACATCTCTTGGAGAGCTCTACCTCGTGGGTAGGTTTTGAAGAGCCTCAATAAATGTCATTCATATTTCTAATTAATAGAATAAAATAATTCCTAAGAGCAATTCGTATTTGGCCTGGTATCATTTTTTTATGGCAATCATATTACAAACATATAAACATTTGCCATACACAGAGATATAAAGATAGAAAAAGGATTTTTTTTAATATTGACATTTGACTAACAGCGATCTGATTGCATACTTTTTTATGCTGTTTTCACAATTTTTTAAACTGTGCATATTTTTTGGCCTAATGGGATGATATTACCTAGAAGTCCAAAATTGGAAACAAAGCCAGACACCTGTGACTGGATCTAGCTCTAGCAACTGGCTCCACTCTGCCCCACCACTCAGTCCTAGAGCTCTTCCTAGAATAGGATCCTTAGGCCTGTGTTTTACATCTATTGCCTTGAGTAACTTTCATCAATGCTGAGAGCACATCGGCAAGATTTTCTGACAGATGTAATCTAATTCTTATCCCAGATTTGTCCTGTGTACTGATGCTCTCTCTAGCTTTCTCTAAGACACTGCTTCTCTAGATTTCAGAAAAGGTGTGGACATTTTAGCAGAGATGTTTCAACACGCCCTTGATAGAATTTAACAAAGCAGAGATGTTTTAATAAGCCTTTGATAGAGTATGCTTTAGGGTTTTTTGTTTGTTATTCATGCTAAGGCACTTTAATAATAATCTCTTTTATCTTAATGAAAATACAAATTAACACAATTGTACTACGAAGTAGCTATTTTAACAGATTTTCATGTTTCTTTCCCTGTTTTCCCCTCCCATTTTCCAGTGCTTGTATTTATTGAGATACTAAAGATATACTAGAGTAGGGAAAGAAAAAAAAAAAAACCAAACAACTATTCCAAATCCACCCAGTTCCCTCCGACACACGGCAAAAGGATTGGGAAACTGGTGAAGAGGAGTGGCTCTAAAGGTTACGACAACTGCCGTCCACATGAGCTTTGTCTCTGAAAATATAGGGTGGTTTCCTCCTGTTTAAGGACATGTAATGCCATAGACTGCTTTGTAGGACTCCTACCCTCTTCATCAGAAACGTCAAGAACTTCAGTCATCGTCTCAGGAACATTCAGCTTGTGTTTTTCAGTGATCGTCTGGAAAGACAAAATGATCAATGCTTGAGTTAGTTAATTGTGCCAACCTGACCGATAATCACATGTGGGGCTAATTGAAAGGTGGAGGGATAAATGGGTGGTGAGCCTCGCCTTTGTAGTTCTCGGGTCTCTTGCTTTGTGATGGTTGCACCAGGGTGCAGCTGCCTTAGCAGTTCCCTGCTTCAGCTTGCAAGATTGACTTCATACAAGACATCCCCAAGGAGAAGCTACATGGACCTATCCCAATGCAGCCCTGGGTGCTGGAGCAACTGTGTGGAGACCCCTGCTAGTGCTGAGATGCTTGTTCGTTCACTGACTCAGCTTTCCTCCTGCAGTCGGCATCATTGCCTCTGTTTTGTGAGTTGGAGGACTTTGTGGACTGGTGTTGGGTTAATGGGTTAATGTTGGACTTGGGGGCTTGGGCAGCATTGGGTTGGGATGTTTTCGTGATGCACATTTTCTTTACATAAAACTCTCTCTTATACGTGAGTTGCTGTGGATTTGTTTCTCCAAAGTACCCAGACTAAAACAATGCTCAAGTTAAAAACCAAGCCAAACCCACAATCAAAGTAACCGTGGGGAGCCATGCTCAAAGCAGTAGCGGGGTAAAGGGCACTGAACGTTCCATCAGCCCCAGTTGTGTTCTTGGAAGCTTTATATTCTTATACGCTCTCATGAAGATTAATTTGTTCTTTCTGTAGATAAATTACCTTTTACCACAGTAAAATTGTAGGCTAGAACGTTTTTAAAATTTAGTTCCCTTATCGAAACCCAAGATTATTTGGCAATAGTAATAACTAAACAAACAAACAAACTGACCGACATCAAGTTAACACTGACTCATAGTGACCTCTGTGGATTTCCACGAGTAACAGTTTACAGGAGTAGAAAGTTCCCTCTTTCACCTGCAGAGTTGCTGGTGGTTTCAAACGGCTGACCATGCAGATCGCAGCCCAACACATAGCCAGTACGCTACTTGGTCATATTGAGTAAGCAGACCAATGTTTTCAGGGCTTTCTTAAAGTGAATTCAGCGAAGTCTCCAGAGAGCCTTCAAAAGAAGTAATGAGCATATGCGGTTTATTGACAACAAGGCCATTATAAACTAAGGTGTGGAAACTGTGAAAGACATGAGACATTTGGGCAGAAAATGTGACACGTCTTCTGGGATTTGGGGATCACAGGAGAGAAACAACCTCTACAGTATGATATTGGGCTAGAGCTCTGATTTGTTACTTGTTTGCCTTCCATGAATATTTTCAAATCCTCTGCCCTTTTTGCTTGGTATAGGGTTTTAAGTGAGGTTAGTGGGAGATTAAGACTTGGCTTTGGCATTTAACTGTGTAAGGGCAAATTCTCACTTCATTATTTATTAGAGACCTTGGAAAGTCCCTTAATTTTTGTGTTTCCCAATTTTCTCATCACCAGCACAAAGAAAACAGTTGAACTTCTTAAAGTTTGGTATGGCAATTAAATGAAGTAGATATGGGCTATTTCATATTGCAAGGCAAATGAAGCATAAATTATTATTTAAATGGATACGTCAATATTAAATTCATCTTAAAAATGAAGACTTGCTTAACCTTTTTGCCATTCGTGAACACAAGAAATAATTTGAGCACAATCTGCATATCAAACACTGTTCTAGACAGGAGATGCTAAATAAATAAATAAAAATCTAAGTTTCACAGCATTAAATACCACGTAAAGACCAAAAACAAACAAACAAACAAAAAAAGCCCAACTCACTGCCGTAGAGTTGATGCCAACTCAGAACGACCCTGTAGGACAGGATAGAACTGCCCCTGCGAGACTCTGAGACAACAACTCTTAATGGAAGAAGAAAACCCTGTCTTTTCCTTCTGAGCCTCTGGTGGTTTCAAACTGCTGACCTGCAGCTAGCAGGCCAACACACAACCTCTATGCTACCAAGGCTCCTACCACATAAAGATAATGAACTCTAAAATTCCTATCTGCTGCACTGGTTCTGAAATTTTAATAAGTGCATTCACTATGAAACCATTCTGAACACTGGGACTGAAAAGCTGAAAAGGTTGTTTCTTTGAATATAAGTGCTCAGTTAAAGTCACAAAAGTATAATAAGAAAACTACATAGGATTTTAAGTTTTACTCCACATGTGCTACAAACTTTCTTGGGTTGCCACAATATCTCCTATTGTCACTTTTCTCTTTCAAAACATAACAGAAAAAATTAAAATAGATTTGCAAGGAAATTCGGCTGATTATTTTAAATATGTATTCATTTACACAAGTGCACAGGTCAAAAAGCTCTCCACCAAAATCAAGAGAAACCTTGATGAATCCAAGACATCAAAATGTGAAGCTATTGTTTCTCAACATGTCTTCAGTGTACATCATTAAGATGGTGTGTCTACATATCCAACCGTTCCCTGAAGAATTCTACATTTTTCAATTTACAGGAAGGTATAAATCCAGGGTGCATTATAGCACTGATGAACCACATAACTATCCTCTAGTTCTTTAATATTTCCTCCCCTTACTATTATGGATTTTCCCCCCTCATTCATTGTGTTAGATTTGCAAATGTACATTTGTATATTTAATCTTTTGGTACATGAAAGCCAATATAGATAACCCTTCAGAAACAGTACCAGGAGTAATGGTTCTCTGAGGGTGCGGGAAGAGGGAGGGAGGGGAGCGCCTGTGGCAGTACAGGAAGGAGGGAATAGAAGCTGATAGCACTGATAACTGTGTAACCCCACTCAAAGGGAGCGAACAACAGAATTGTATATGAATGGATATATTGGTGTAAGATATGACAACAACAAAAAAGTATTATAGAGGGGTTCCTGGGGTAGAGGGTGGGGCAGGTGGAGGATAAAGGGAAGCTGATATCAAGGAGTTCAAGAAGAAAGAACGTATTTTGAAACTGATTGTGGTAGTGATTATACAGTACTTGATGTGACTGAACTTTGGAATGTTATGTTATCTTTAAGAGCTTCCAATAAAATGATTAAAAAAATTTTTTTTAAATAAAGGTGAGAATAGAACTGATAAACACATCTATGGCCAGAAAGGATTTTCATTCAGCATTGTCTTAGAGAACAATTTAAATAATTATTGACTTACCCTATTTAAAAACAAAACCGCCCAGCAGTTTTAGCATGCTTGAGGGACTCATATAGGGTTCGTAAGGTCTGCCAAGGGCATCCTCATAGCACGGCCTTGGCTGCTCTCGATTGAGCAGGTGTATTGCAATGACGAATGAAAAAATAAAAAATAAATTCTCAGCACAACTTTCCTGGCCTTCTTCTCAATCAATATAGTTTTATATTTTGTTAAAACTTCTAAGGAGGCCATATGATCGTTGTGTGTCCTTCAAGAAAATCTATCAAGGTAATCCTCTGATGTTAGGTGCACACCAGTCTTTTGCGACTCACTGCGACCCTATGTCAACGGAATGAAGCACCACCTGGTCCTGCCCCATCCTCTCAATTGTCCTTATGTTTGAGCCCTACTGTCCCAGCCCGGTGTCCATCCACATTGTGGAGGGACTTCCTCCTTTTCATTCCTCCTCCACTTTACCAAGCATGATCTCCTTTGTCCGAGACTGGTTTCTCCTGATACTATGTCCAAAGTATTCCATCTTTGCTTCTAAGGAGCATTCTGTTCTTCTTATATGACAGACTTGCTTATTCTTTTGGAACTCCACGGTACTTTTAATATTCTTTGCCAGCACCATTATTCAAACGCATGGATTCTTCTTCAGGCTCCCTTATTCAGCGTCGGCTGTTGCATGCCTATGAACTCATGGAAAATACTATGGCTTGAGTCAGGTGCACTTGAGACCTCCACGAAACATCTTTGCTTTTCAACACTTTAAAGAGGTTCTGTGGAGCAGATTTACCTGTGCGATGTGTCCTTTGATCTCTCGGCTGCTGAGTCCGTGAGCACTGCTGGTGGATGCATGCAAGAAGAACTCTTTGAGAGCGTCAATCTTTTCTCCATTTATCATGATGTCCTCCATAGGCCCGTGAGTCACAACTGACTCAATGATACTTAACAACAACACAACTGGTCCAATTGTGAGCATTGGGGTTTTCTTCACATTGAGCTGTAACCCATACTGAAGGCTGCAATATGTGATCTTCTTCAGCAAGTGCTTCAGGTCCTCCTCACTTTCAGAAAGCAAGGTTGTGTCATCTACAATCGCAGGTTATTAATAACCTGATGCTGAGTTCTTCTTCATATAATTCAGCTTCTCTGATTATTTGCTCAGCATACAGATTGAGTAAGTATGGTGGAGGGGAACCCTGACTCTCTCACCTTTCCCGTTTTTAAACTGTACATTAGTTCCTTGTTCTGTTTACATTAACTGTCTCTTGATCCACGTACAAGTTCTGTAGGAGCACAATGAAGTGTTCTAGAATCCTGATTGTTCTCAAGGTCAGATACCTTTGCATAGACAATAAAACAAAGGTAAATATCTTTCTTATTTTCTCTGCTTTTGGCCAGGGTCCATCTGTGTCAGCAATGATATCCATTGGTTCGTGTCCTCTTAGGAATTTAGCCTGAATTCCTGGCAGCTCCCTGTTAATATACTGCAGCAATTAGTATTGACTTATCATCAGCAAAATTTTACTTGCATGTTAAGTCAATGATATTGTTCTAAATTTTAACATTCTATTGGGCCACTATTTTGGGAATACATACACATAAATAGATTATCCCAGACAGCTTTCCAAATTTCTTCCAAATTTCTTAGCATGGATGAGCAAGTGCTTCCAGTGCTTCCTCGGCTTGTTAAAACATTTCAATTGGTATCCCATCAATCCCCGGGGCTGTGTGTTTCATTAATGCTGTCAGTTCTTGATCATATGCTACCTTCTGAAATGTTTGAATGTCAACTAGTTCTTTTTGGTACATTGACTTTGTGTATTTTTACCATCTTCTGTTGATGCTTCCTGAATCACTTAATATTTTTCCTATAGATTCTCTCTTTAAAAAAAAGACCAGACG